CTAGTCTTTCACTGCTAAATTAGGGACGGTTAGCGCAGATAGCTCTCGTGTAGCTTTGCGCGAAATTCAAACCAAAGTTCCGAACGACACACATCGAAATAATACAGTGAAAAGACATTTACATTCAAAACAAACCAAATAATTTTCGGAACGAGCTACATATTTAAGTGTGTTCCATTGTAATCTGTTTAAATGTTTTATGATTCAATTTCCATCTTATAAAACTTGCTGTGAAGCCGCCTAGCAGTGCCTCTCTAAGCATTTTAATTAAAGTATGTTTCTTGTTCAATAGTCTCTTATCGGTTAAAGGATTTTAAAAAAATAATAAACTTATTCAAAATATCAAGTGGCTTTACTTCGTAAGTAAAGTGTTTTCAATCATACGATTGGCAGAACTGAAATTAGAATTTACTTTAGGAGCATCATTTATTCACCGAATACAGTTAATAAATTATTCTATGGTTCATGTAGTGTTAGTAACCCGATGAGATATCTGAGTAAATCAACTTTTCTGAAAAAGTTACAGTTTTCCTTATTATTAAGATATCCATTAACGAGTATGCTCTCCATCAGCCTGCAGAGAAGACTTCTGACTATTTGGTGTAGTACGATATGGTTTTCTTGTCTCATTCCTCAGTCAGTGCAACGCCATCTGATGTGTGTTAAGGCATTGAATGAAAAGGAGTCAAATTAAAGGAGTGGGATTATAGGATTGTGACTTCGTGTTAGCCCATCCAGGATCTGTAAGGTCTGTTGTTCAGGAAAAAAACCTGGTTCGATTACAACCGTGAAATCTCGTACACTTGTGTTTTCAAGGGCTGAACTTTCTGTTCAATAATATATCGAAGCGATAATTAAGCCTAACAAGATTCATACTGATGCCTTCACACACCATTACTAAACCGCCACCAGAATAGTCGTATCATTCAGAGACGTTGCTCCGAAGATGTCGTTCTCCTCTAGATCTCTAGATACAAACCCATCGATTATTGAAAAAAGTGGCAGGAAACCTTGACCCACTTGCGAAAAATACAAGTTCCTAGTACTGTACTGGTGATCTAAGCCTAAACTAGAAATGTGGTCCACTAGGGGAGTGAAGCACGAAGTCTGTTTTTCTACTTTTGTTCACTAACTGTTGTCCTGAAGCTTATATTGGCACAGTGTCTAGTATACAAATGCTTGTTAGCATGCCTACAATACGAACCAAGAGTGTCCGTGTTTTTGCGGCTTCCAACACTTGAACAACTTCAAAGTATTCCACCCGCCACAAGCAGGTAACTTTGCCAAAATTAGATACAAACATTACGCAAAATTGAAACAATCACCAATACAGCAAATCAGCAAATTTGAAACAAAATAGGACACTTTATTTCAATGGCTGGAAATAAATGCAAAATGCTTTGGAACAGACGGGCGTTCTTGCAACAGATAAAGCGAAACGTTCACATTATTAATGTCATGTCTACTTTGCGTCCATGCGAAACGTTTGACAGACTGATAAAAATAGTTCGTTACACTTTGAACTGGGCTCCAACTTTATACAAAGGTTCTAACAAATCCTGGAGCTCTTCGTCGTTAGATAAATTATAAGTGATTAATGAAAAATAAAAAACTTTCTATAACAACTTCCAAATTTAATACAATCGTGCTATAAATTGTTTGCAGAAGCACAAAGATTCGAAAATGTTCTATGTGTTCTTTGTTTGTTTTTAAAATTCTATGGTACCCAAATGAAAAATTTAATGGATATGGGGGAAAGGATGAGGTGAAAAAAGGCTCCCGTTCTGTTCGTGTCTCATGGTCTAATAACTCTAATCTTTTTCTTTTTAGGTTTGATTATAATATTTGGCAATACCACGATTGAAAGTTTGCCAAGGGATTTGATTTGCCAAACACTTTGCTTCAGATATCAAGTTAGCTGGAAACGTTGCGAAACGAATATGCTAACCAGACCGAAGAACATGGTGATAACTGAGGGGAGGCATTATTGAAATTCCAGTGGAACGATATTCTTTCCATATTGGTATACCCTCAATTCTTCAGCTCATTATATTAACATTGACTCTCAATGATTGTGTTTTAATTCGTTATTACAAAGTGCTGGTTTTGTAACGAGAGCCTTTTATGTCACTGCAATCCCTTTTTCCTTGCAACATTACTAGATGCAACAAATTCGGAATGGCACAAGCCGTTCTGTGCTTGTCTTATGCGCCCTCTATTTTTCAGATAAGCCGAGTCCTAGTGACCAAAGCCAAAACGATTCTGTTTCAGGCATATTCTTCATCATCCCGTGCATCGACACCTACTGCAAAGTGGATTTGAGGACAGTTTCATTTGATGTGCCACCTCAAGAGGTACGTACATCTCCGTTATGATATGATATCTTACTCAAATATTACTCTGATAAACACTGACTCGTACTGTAGTTCCCCGGAGGGACAGCGATAAGTCTATAGACTTACAACGCTAAAATCCGGGTTCCATTCCCTGCGGTTGACGCAACAAATAACTCAATGTGGCTTTATTCACAAAAACAAACAAACAAACTCGTATTGTAAAACGAACCACTGACTTTGATCATATTGATTAGTTGAGTTTTTCTCTCTTTGCTGACGTAAACTTAATTTCGTGGATGTGATACCCAATGAAAGTTTGAAATAGCTTTCATTTCTCTAAAAAATTATGGTTTGAAAATATCGCTTAAACACTCCAAGGTTCTATAATTCAGAAACAAAAGTTTATCTTTTTTTGTTGTACCTTTACTTTCATAAACAGCGTACTTAATTTTTATAGGACAATCTCATAATCTTAAAATGTATTAGAATGAACAACAGAGGTTAGTTTGTATGATGAAGTAATGGAAGTACTAATATTACGTTTCACTCCATCAGAATGACATCATCTATACTATTATTCTGCTTGTTTGTATGTACGACCGTTACGCTTTCTGACCCAGAACCTGTTGCATAAGCATGCGTAGTTAGAATGTTTCCCCAAGAAAAACCGCGCATGCGCATTATTCACTCGACGACAAACAGTCTGTCTGCAGCAGAGAGCTGTAAAGCTCGGTGATCAAGTCGCTACAATTGCTGCATGAAACAAGAAGTAACAACAAAAGGGGAATGTAAATATACTTTATGAACCATTTTGTACAACAGAATATTAAAAACTTATCAAAGTTTTAAAAAAAGTTTGACGTTAGGTCGTACGATAACATTATAAGTTTATTTATCGATAGTATTAAGTAAAGTAAAGTTGTATTAAGTA